GAAGCGAAGTAGGCACATGTTGTAAGTCTGATCGCTGAAAAACTTGATCTGCAGATTATAGATAACTGATTCTCTCTGAATCTTTAATTTAGGCCTGCAAATCGTTTACTTAAGATATATATACGAACTGCGTATACGCTACATTGGAAAAAGTGACCCTGGTATTGTTATATGTCTTATTGGGCAAGAACTTTAAATGGGGTATTAATCTGGATGTTAAACCATGATCAAAAAGCACTGGTTTTTCAAAATCTGAAAGTAAGAACAGAATCGAGTTCTTAACTTTGAATGTAGTATTATGTTAAAGCTCAGACTATTAACAAGAAAGTCTGCTTTGGAAATCGGTTCGGTTTTGACAAAGTTATGGCTTTCCAAAGCTTTGGTACTAATGTAAATCAATAAATAACTATTAAAATTAACAATGGGTAATTCCCAGTAAATGATCTTTCCACATATTATACACAATTAGAAATGTAAATATTGTGGTCATGAGATTTTAATACTAATATAGAATTATACGTAGAATGGAAAATGAGACATTTGAGCAAAATACTTGGAATTAACTGAAATCAATAGCAAAAGTCAAGTTAAAAGTATGATTAATACTGATTACTATACAACATCTAGAAATAATATAAAAATACGAATCGAAGCTAAAATTGCAATTTTGATTAAAATATACTTTGAATACACTCCAACGCAATAGTTTTATGCACAACTGTACCTGTGCTGAGTTAAGAGCAACCTGAGCAACCGCACAACCAACCACATTGCACATTGTATATATAATACCTTTCCAAAATCTGTGTTGTATGCGTGTGTGTGTGTGTGAGTTGTTGTGGCATACACTTCCCAAAAGCGTACAAACCAAAATCGAACCCAAGTGAAATCCAATACATACGAATGCCCAAAAAGACCATTTATATTTATAGCAGCCCCCGAAAAAGAGTCGAGAACAGAAACTCAACTGAACTGAACTCAACTCAACTCAACTCTGACTGTCGCACCGTAGCGACGGACATAGCATCTTTACGTTCCCATTCCTCCTCAATATCCCCACAATACCCAAATGCCCATTCTCCACACAATTCGCATACACATCCTCTCGACATCTTTGTACAATAAAGATAGATTAGCATCTATCGAAGCGCTGTGCCAGCAGAACGAACCAACCGAATGAATCCGAATGAATGCGGGTCCGGACTCGGGGCGCATGTCTGAAAGCTGAAAACTGAAAGCATCATCATCATCAACGGCCACAGCACCGGCACCGGCATCGGCATCGACATCAGCATTCCCAGCTGAAGCTGAGGCTGAAGCAACAGCAAAACTCAAGCTGTAGCTGTAGCTCTGTGGCGCTGCAGAAGGGACAAGAGGATGGCAATCCGCCGCATTATGTTCCCCCATAGAGTCTAAGCCAGTTGTTGAGAGAGCTGCGGCTGTTGGTGAACTAAAACTCTGATGTTCAAGTGCCCATCATCGTCTGGGTTTTCAACGATGTGCCTATGGAATTGTAGCGATGCTAACAACAACAACTACAACAACATTGATATATACACTTGGGAAAAATATAGAATTTTATACTCGAATCGAGTCGAGACATTGTCCAGGTCGAAAATACTAGAACAGAGCACGAATCCTTTGTTGTTACAGTATCCTTTGTGTAAGGCTCTCCAAAATTAAGTAAAGGGCAATTTTTGGCACTTTTCCTAAGTGTGCACCTGATTTAAAATAAGTTAAGTACGATTTTGATCATTTTTAAATGGTTCTAGAACATTTTATACTTATTTTAAGTAGAGAAGCTCTTCTTTAAAGGTTTTTTAAAATATGCACGAGCACTTTGTATGCTTAATTGTACATTAATTGATAGCAAAGTTTTTCTCTGAGTGTATGTGGCTGTTTTTTTTTGCTGTTTTTCAAAACCCAAGAGGCTTATGCTGGGCCGACAACCCAAATACTTAAGAAGTAACAACGACTGGCAAAAGGCGGCCAGTGCCAGTTATAAAGCAAGAAGATGTCGATTGCGAGGCTACAACTCCGACTCAAATTCAGATTTAGTTTCAGTTTGAGACTTGTTTCGACATCGACCCGCCACTCACCATCATCATCATCATCATCGTCGTCATCGAAATCGACATCATCATGATGAGGCTAAATTAGACAGTCTGATGAGTGTGTGCCTTCCGTTCTGTGTGTATCTGAGCAACGTCGCACTGTATCTATATCTATAAGTTTTCGTATTCGTATAGTTGTCTCTGCACGATAACCTCGCTGCTCTGCTCTGCTCTGGCCATGATGGGCAAGGGGTGTTCGGGTTTCGGGTTTACTGTTTTTGGCTCTATGCGAGAGCTCATTCATTCATTTATTTTATTTTATTTTCTTCTTTTTTTTTGTTCTGTATGGCATACAATGGCATCGATTATGGCATGGCATGAACGATTTCGAATGCTGATATACTTATTTATTTTTGGGGGCAGGGGTCGCTCGGCCTGCGTCTTGCTTGAGCCGAGAGCAACGTCAAGAGATTTATGTTTATAGATGGGCGGCCTTTCGAAAGAATCGATATGATATATACACACACACACACACACACACAACAAGCAAAAGTGTACTGTGTACAAAGCAGCTAGAGCATATATAGAATGTATTTAAAAGTAAATCAGATAACAACTGGAATGTTGAAAATATGAGTCAACTTTTACATATATATTTATATATATATATAGATATTTGTACATGCCTCATATGGAAAACCAGTTTTAGCTTTTTTTGGTTGATCTCTTGTGAAATAATATTGCCATTGACTTTTTTTTTTGGGCATCAAGTGTAACTATAAATTGAGTCTATATAACAGATTTGAAATGTTAAAATGATTTAAAAGTCAGCTAATACAAGTGAAATGTTAATGATGTTAAGTTAGTTTTTTATAGATGCGCAAAACCAGTTACATTTTATAGGGGATTTTTTGGGTGTTATTATTATGTCATGGATTTATTTTGGGAATGTGTTTTTCGGGAACTTTAGCTTGATCCCCGACCAGTTGATTTTTTAAGTTGTATAAGTCATAGTATCTTTTTTACAACAATTACTCAAAACGTGGATTGCTTGCAATATGAATCATTTGCACATAAGCCAAAAACCAGTTAAAGATTTTAGTTAATATTTATAAGAGTGATTGGTATGTCAGATTGTTTTTCGTGTGGGTATCACTACTCAAATGTATCTTAAAGATTCGTGGCACCAAAGATGGCTGACTCATAACAGATAACATCTGGAATATATGAATCACTTTTCCATATACGATTATATACTTTTAGTGTGACTACTTAGCCATTTGCATAACACAGGAATGCTTAATAGAAACGTATCTTTTTAGATGTGTATAATTGTTATAGATTTGCTATCTGTTCAAAGCTGATCATTAGTCAGAAAAGTAATTATCTTGGCAATACCCTCTTCGAAATGTTGACAGGATAATCCCCGACAGTTGGCTAAAATGCAGATATATATATTTGCAACTACCACTATGTATTGCTGCACACACACACACTTGCATAGGATGGCTTTTTTTTTTGTAGTTTCTACACCCTTGTGCTATGTGCCTTCAAGTCCTTGTCCATTTTGGCCCACGGGGTTTTCATGTCAGAACTCTAAACGCCCTGGGGCTTCAAATACTCCTTGTTGTTGTCATTTTTTGTCATCCGTTTACTTTTTTTGTTGTTCTTTGTGGAGCGCAGCCGTGTGGCAGTAACCTGAGTTGACTCGAGTCGGGTCCGAGACGTTGTCGCTTTCAGCACTGATGTTGCTTCTTCTGTTCCGTTCGAGGCTTCCTCTTTGCACCTAAAACCGTTACGAACCTAACCTGCAACACTAGTGGGTTTTCTATAGCTATGCATTCTCTGGCTGCGTTTACCTTTAACGAGTATAGTCAGGGAGTCAGGTCGTCAGTTGACGTCTGACGTCGGTCGGAAATCCTTGAAATGAGAGTCCTTCTACTCCCTCCCCCACTCTCCCCCCCTCCCAGCAAGTGCTACTGCTGCTGCTGAGGAGGGTTGGCGACTGCTACTGCTGTTGCCAAGAAAATAGAGAGAAAGAGAGCAAGAAGAGCAAGAAAAAAACAACGTAAAATGAAACTTTCGACTTTCAACTGAGGACACGATGAAGGCGTCCTCTGTGCAATGCTCCCAGCTATATGGACGCTGTGTAATCGTAGCACCATCTATATATATATATATATATATATATATACCATATATAAATGTGTGTGCATTTATGTGTGTGTGTGTGTGTGGCTAGCCACAGCGAAGGTCCCTCGCTGGGATGTGCTGCCCTATTGGCGCTGCCCGCTGCCCGCCTGCCAGGGCTATTCTAGCCATTCTGAAATTGATGTAGCACCTACAGCAGCGCTCCACGCACGTTCAATTGCTTGTTCCCGCTACGCTTCGCATTGACTTACCACCTCTGCCCCGCCGCGTGGCCGCCATTTGGCCGACCCTCTTGGTGCTGCAGGTCATTTCAGCTCGCATCTACAAATGGCCAGGACGCGTAAACTTTTACAGGGCGAACGTAAAGTTTAAGCGCTGATTGTACTACGTTTCATTTTGAAGCGTTCTCGGTGTATGTGTGTGTTTGTGTGTGTGGTGTGTGGTGTGTGTGTGGTGGCCGCAACGGATTATGTAACTTGAGCGTGAGCATCAGCATCAGTATGTGCATTGTGTGCACCTTAGCCAGTATGTGCCACATACACCATACCCAGGACAGTTATAATCGAACGAAATTATATATATATATTTATATATATGTATGTGTGTGTTGCAAATTAACGAAGATAGAACGACTATATTGGGACACACGGAGGATTACCTTGCCTAATATTCAAATTTCATTTTACATTTCAAGAACCAACAATTTGTTCCTACGAACGTAATTAAATAACGTTCGATGTTGGGGATGAAAAACCTCTGAACTAGTCAACAATTTAGTGACAAGCCACAAAATGTGTGGTATTCAATTAAATTATTCCATTTAATATATAACTTTTTTATATGTATCGTTAAATTAGTTTGACAAGCGACACAGAGAAGCAACTTACTCTTATTGATATGACAAGTTTTCTGACTTCCGACATTTAATACGCCTCTCAAACATTTTCAATGTGTGCAATTTTTTAATACAATATCTTATTATAGCTAACATAATCATATCATACTTATATATACTATATATATCATTCATTATTTACATGAGCTTAGAAACTTAGCTTAGAACATAAGCATTTTAGTTTTTGGTCAAATTGTAGTTAAAGTTTTTCGGTTAGAATCTAATTTGGTAGTGGAGTAACTGTCAGGCGTTGCCATTTTCTGCAGCTCGTTTGAAGACCTTTTCGAGTTGGGTGAGCAATCCAATGGCTCGATAGTTTTCGTCCAGCAGAGCAAACTCCTCGAGCGGTTTGAGTAGTCGCAACGCATCCTCGTAGCACTGGACGGATCGCGGCAGCTCGGCATCTCCGCCATCCGCCAAATAGTGTCCGGGACTGTGTGCACTCGGATTCAGCGATTCAATCTTTTGTATCTTGAGCGGGGAACTGAGTGCGGGAGTAGTTTCTGTTGATGGCCGCTTGAGGTCATTGCTTTTGGCTTTATCTTGTTCATCGTCATCATCGTTGATTTCAATCAGTTCCGTTGGCACCTCAATGGCCACGCAATCATCATCATCGTCGTCATCCTCGACTGGAGTATTACTATTATTATTATTATTATTATTATTATTATTGTTATTATTATTGTTATTATTAATGTTATTATTATTTGGTTCCTTGGTGGGTGTCACCGGCTTGGACTGCACCAATGGCCTAAGTACATAGCGAGTGGATTCCGTTTCCTTTGGCGTTAGGGTGATGCTGCCCAACGGCTGTTCCCGCTGCTCATTGCGTCCACAGTAGCTGACGATGTCGCGCAGATCCAAGGAGAGCGGTGCACGCCTCAATGTCATCCGGTATTGAACACCCTGCGAGAAGCTAAAGTTGTAGTGGCTCTTGAAGTGATTGAACCACGTACGATCCGGAAAGAAGTTCTCTATTTTGAGTATGTCCCTCAGATTGATGGCTACCTCGCGCAAATGATCCACATCGAGGCGTCCCTTGTTCTTGTGATGGAATTGCGAGCGCGAAATGTACTCGAACAGCGCCTTCTCCAGGAAGTTAATCTTGCGCTTGCGCCGCAGCTGCATTTCATCCAGCGTCGCTTGATTCTGACAGGATGCCGCGACCAGGGTCTTGGTGCGATACAGCGAACGTATATCGACAGGCTTACGCTGTGATATCAATGCCACTCGGCCATCAGAGACGGGCTCCACAATTAGGTAAGGACTTTCCGTGGGATTCGTTTTGTGCGGCGCCGGTGGCACTGCTTGACTCGGTGTATCCTTTGGCTCTGGACTACTACTGCTGTCCGATGCGGTTGTGTTCTTGCCACAAAAGGACATGATATCACGCAGATTCAGCGATCGTGGTGGCTTACGCGTCATCAGTATCTGCCGGTTCGAGAGCGTTATGTTGTACGCAGCCTTGAAGTGATTGATCCACGACTGAAAATATATATATACATATATTACATTTTCATTTCAACTAAAGCCTAGCTTAACCTGGTTGGTTTTCTGATTGTGCTTTTTTGCTTTTGCTTTTAACAGCATTTTTTAAAAACTATTCAAGTTGATATCTTGTTTATAGAATTTTGTAAAAACTACAGATGAATAAGGGACAACAATTGTTGAACGCAGTTAGATTATAGGCATTCTAGAATCAGTACTCTCAAAAAAACAATCGAATGACTAATGTGGGTGAAAAGGATACCTTGTTTGGCACAAAGTTATCGATATCCATGAGGGTCTGGAACTCCAATGCCTTGGTGCGTATCAGCTCCTCGTTGATGTCCACATTTAGATAATATTGGGCACGCTGAATATACTCGTAGAGGCAGTGGCCCAGAAAGTTGAGTTTACGTCTGCGCAGCTCCTCAAACTTGGAGTTTGGCTGTTTGCTGTTGTCTCGCCGTGCCTCGTAGAATTCCATGATGGGTTCCCGGTTGGAGACGATGCTCTTGATTTGCTCCCAGCTACAGTTAAAGTTCTTCGCTATTTTACTGTACATGGGCACAATATCATATTGACGAATCGCCTCCACACGCTCTTCCAACGTCAGCACGTTGCGTATACGTTGCGAAGAGCTGCCACTGCCACCGTTTACACTGCCGTCGTCCTGCAAGTTATAGGATATGTCAAAATTAAATTACATAATATGTGCAACAAGTATCTTGCAGAAATTATAAATTATGCAAATGAAGTGCCTTGAATCTTAATAGTTATTATTACATTTTTGTTATATTATGAACATAGAATATTAGGACCCCTATTTAAATATTCTCTTAAGTAATTTCTTCTAATATTTAGTATAGTAAAGTACACAAATCTAACTTTATATGAATTACTTGCAAATTAGAATTGCCCCCAAAATCAATGTTGTAATTAGCGAGCGAATACTGTTTACTAATGTATCTATCACTACAGACTATTGCTTTGTAAGATGACAGCTAATAGACAATAAGTCAACTTGGGCATTATCAAAACTTGTTTCCAAATCAGTAACTACAAACACTTAAAATATAATGTCTCTTAAACTCTCTTCAACTGTTGTAGTTATGAGCAAAAAGAACAAGCAATTCTAACGCTATTCCAGTTAGACCTGATCAATGATATGTAAATTCGTCAACAAGTCGTTTCGAGTAATACGAAAGCATCGCCCCGCTCTCTCTGCTTACGTCAGACATTTGCTCAGTTCCGTACGCTCACGATCACGCTCACGCACACGCGCTCATGCACATGCACTCCCACTCTCTCTCTCTCTCTCTCTCTCTCCGACACGCTCACGCTCGGCACTCTTGCGCTCTTTGTTAACGCTCTCCCGCTCGCTGATATGGCAATGCCTTTAATGAAACAAAAAGAAAAAAAAACAACAAAAACAAATTAAAATTAAAATTGTATAATTGATGTGTTTACCTTATATTTTTCGATAAGCTTATGCGCACCTGTTTTTTCGTCCAAATGTGCAGCCGTTTTTTAGGCACACTAACAGCAATAAGTAAATAGTAAAAAAAAATAATACAATGACGTTCCGCACGTGACGTGTGCAGCGTAGCAGCAATTTGGTACGACTAACTAACTCGGTCAGCAATCTCTCCGAGACATGGGTGGAAAATCAGGTTTGGCGAGTTGTTCAAACTTGTTTACCGAACGTGAGAGATTGCGCTCTGCTCTCTCTCGCGCGCTCTTTCTCAGTGTGATCACTTGTGCGCCACTCTCTCTCTCTCGCTCTGTGTGCGTGTGCGCCTTTGTTGCTATTTTTAGTGGTAGCGGAGCAGAGTAAAGCTGGTGAGCATCGTTCCGATAGTTGTTGTGGGTGGCAGGCAGAGAGAGCAAATATTTGAATTTACTTTCATTTCAATTGAATTTTAAATGTTGCCCTCTTTTCTATCTCTGTATAGAATTGTTTAATTGGGGCAAGTATTGGTTTTGAGTTTTGCGTAATCTTTAGCTGTAGTCAGAGTATATATGTATATACATATATATGTATATATATGCAATTGTATCTATAAAATGGAATAAACATGAAACGAGAACTTATAATACAAATTTGAAGTTCCCAGCTCAACTGCATGTTTTATCTTTCCCACAATCCAATAATACAGAGAATTTTCTCTTTATTATAATTCTCTCTTTGGTACTCATTAATTTCCAATTCCACAATCAATTAGCGACTAGCAATCACACAAAACTTTTCCCATTTAGATGGATGTTTACTTTTATAGCAAAAAAAAAAGAAATAAAATAATAACTTAGTAAATTTTCTTATACATTTCTTATGTAGTTAGTTCCTAAGTTTCTTTGTTGAATCCTGCTTAAATACAAGTCTTAAAATGATGTCTAAAATTCGAAATGTTAAACATGTACGATAAAACAATAGAAATAAACATAGTTTTATATTTATGTTTAAGATAGTTAGTCAGTTAGTTGTAATCCCTTTGGCAGTAGGGGTTTTTAATGCATGTGCCACAGTTGGCATTTAGTCGGGTCTATCGATCGGTTTCTTGTAGACGGGTCCCTTCTTGCGCATATATTGTTTGATGAACTCGTAGGATTTGTGTTTCACCGATTCGGTACAGGCCAAAGGATTGCCTGTTACTTCACAATAGCGCATCTCCTTGGTGGTTATATGGAGGCTCAGCTGCAAAGGATTAGGATTAGATTTAGAATTAATGATGAATATTATGTAATATATTTAGTTACCCGCTTAATAAGGAACTTGTAATCCTCGTCACTGGTAATGCGGCCCAGATGGCAAGTGTCCTGGCGGAAGGGACGCAGAAACTCGGCCACATGGCCGCTAATCTCGAAATGGAACTTTTCATTGGAATCACGTACAGTTGTGCTAAGAGAATGAATAACATATATATGTATTTTATGTGTATATATGTTTTTTATGGACAACCGAAAGGGATTGCTTACGTTTTGCGCTTGCTATCCCGATGCTTCTTGTGTACTTCGACGTTGGCATGTTTGCGTTTGGCACTCGGCGGCGTCTCCGTTTCCGTGGAACCACTTGGCTGCACCACATCCGGCACGTTTAGAACTAATGCATCAACGGGCGGCAGATTGGATTCCGTGATAGTCTCCTCATCCGAAGAGTACAGATAGCTGTGAATGGGCAGTGAGTCGCCGGCGGGACTAGCTGGCTGCTCGGCAGGATTCGCATCGGTGCGTGTGCGTCGATAGATCTCCTTGCGTCGACGTATCTTCTCCTTGTTCTCCTTGTACTTGCGTGACTCCTGCTGATTGTAGACACGATCCTCCTCGCGACGCGGACTTATCACACGCACCGAGACGAGACGATTGCGTCTCGCTTCGCGACGCTCCTTAATCTTGACCTCGATGTACTGCCTCAGCGACTTCTCACTCAAGGTGCCCACATAGTCAATATCAATTTTGACAAGATCATCCAAATTGGCCGCCTCATCCGGTTCGGTCAGCTCGAGCGGCTCATCATCGTCGACAAGCTTCTGCAATCGCTGCTCTGCATTTGGTGGCTCCCACTGCGGAATCCGATCACGCAAATTGTAATAGTAGATGTCACCCTCGGGCGTCAGGCTGAAGTGCCAGGAGAGCGGCAACGGCTCCACGCCCGGTGGTAACTTATACTCCACATCATCACCATATTTTGGGGATGGTGGCTCGGATATGTCGCCACAGCGAGGTGGCACCGGCACCGGCACATTCTCACTGTTGAACCACTCGTTTGTCTCGGTGTTCTGGCAGTAGGGCAACAGCTTCGGATCCGTATTTAGATCGAGGCCAAAGTATTCGCAGCGCAGCTCATGCTCACGCCAATCCTCGCTGCCCACACGCTTCTCCGCCTCATCCTGGGCAACCTGAAATACAAATTGATGGTCGATGAAGATTACAATTGAGATGCATATATATAATTCCAACCATGCGCACCTTTCGCTCGAACAGCGAACGTCGCAGCTCCTTGGAAATGGTGGCGCGACGTGGATCCAAATCGGAGCGTCGACGACTATCGGATTTGCTGCCGCTGGCACTCTCCTGGACGCCCTGCCACTCCTTGGGCTGTGTGGTGATGGTGCAGATGGTATTATTGCCGCTCATCCTCGACGGCGGCTTGGACTTCTCGTAGCGACTCGAGGTGTCGCGTCTGAAGCGATCCTGGCGATAGCGATCGCTGTTGAGCACCGCAGAGGCGCTATTACTCTCCTCCAACTGCTGTTGACGATCCGCTTCGCGTTCATGTTCCTTCATCTGTTCGATGCGTTCCCGTTTGGGTATGCGAAAGATTTCGGGCAGGCCATTCCACTTGAGCAACAAAGCCGAGATGCGTGCCAGCACTGCCTCCGAGTCTGGATCGGGTTCAGGAGCAGGAGCAGCTACCTCTGGGGGTGTCTCCATTAACTGATTACTCCACAGCTGCACGCTCTGATAGACACGACTATCGTTCAGCATTGTCTTGTTGGGTATGGGCAAGGATTCGAGTGCATCTAGCAAGGCCAGACGCAGCTGCTTATCACTGCCACTCTCGCTGATCCATGCGTGCAGCAGACGCAATCCATGGTAATCGAGGAAGAGACGCCGACAGGGCAACTCGCCGCGTGTGAGCACGCCCAGCAATTGGAGGCGAGTCTCCAGCAGCTTGGCACGCACCATGCAACGTGAGAAGCGCAACGTATCCAATTGATTCTTCAGACCACTGCCGCTGAGCAACGTCAGCTGTTCGAGCACATCGGGATCCTCCTGATCGGGTTTGCGGGGCGCACGCACTCCGCCAGTGGGACGCAGCCAACGTCCTGCTTTGTACTCGCGATCCTTGGCCTTGGGCTGTTGTTCCTTGCGCTGCTTGCCACGCGATGCGGGCAGCTTTTGTTGTTTCTTTGTCTTGCCGACTTTGGGTGTTTTGGTTTTCTGCTCCTGCTCCACCAGCTGCAGTTCCTCGGACTCACTTTCCGTTTCCGTGTCGAGCTGCTCGCCCTCATCCGACTCCGGTTCGTTGCCAATCCAGCCGCGACAATTGGCCGATTCACAATAGCAGCGCTGGGCATCGCGTCCATAGCGCTGATATTGATAATCGAAGGTGATCTCCTCGCCGGGCATAATGGTCTTCAGGCTAAAGAAACCAATGCGCAGCTCCCCGTTGACCGTCCACTTTTGGGTCTCCGCATTGGGATCACAGCTGTGATTGATGTAACGCGAAATGTTACCCTTGGAGGTGGCATCGATGATGGAATCGCTGCGCAGCGCCATAAAATAATAGTGACGATTGCGATCCTCCGAATATAAATGCTGGCGACGCTCAAACTCCTCGCTATCGATGACCTCGCCCACATACTCCATGATGAACTCCCCGGATGGCATTTGCAGTTCCGCGGTGATGCCGCAACCCTTCTTCTCGGTGCGAAAGACGCGACAGGGCCAACCCTGATGTTGCTGGAAGCGCTTATTCGTGCAACGTTCGCCATTGGTGCAGAGTGGACCACATTCGATCATCAGCATGCGATTGATGCAACCATCGCCACAGCAACGCATCTGGCCCAGCGACTCCTCGTCGCCGGTGACAAAGCAATCGCATTGCATCTCCGCATTCTCCCGGCTCACCTGTCGCGCACAGCGATAATAATTGTCGCGCAGCATTTGGAATGTCTGCAGACCCTCCTGGCGCAGAAATTGCTCATTGCTGGCCTCGATGTGGGCGAGTTCGGCCAGCTGTTGCTCCATGCTGATCGCAGGCGTTTGAGTCGAACTGCTGCTGCCACGACCCAAACTGGATTTGGTGCCTTGTGGCTTCTGTTTGATGCGATGCGAGCGACGCACACCAGAGGCGAGATCATCGCTGCTGTTTGCGGGCGAGGGTGAGGGAGTCGTTGCCGGAGTCTCCAGATTGGCCACACGCTGCGCAAACTCATCCTCCCCAGCTGCAGACACCTGTTGCTGCTGCTGTTGCTCATCCTCCTGTTTGTAGTCGCGTTCGAGCAGCTTTTCGCCGTCTTTGATGAACTTGGCAATGTCATCGAACTGATCGGGTAACTCCAGTTCGCTGTTTGTAGTTGTGGACACACTGCGATTGCCCAGCTCATTGGAGTAGTTGTTGTCCTGGTTATTCTCCTGTTTACCAGCTCCAGATTTACGTGACTGTTTTTTCACATGGGATTTCTTGCTGCTGCTGTGGATTGGCTTGGATTCGGCGGCTGCTTCAAGACTCTGTGCCTTGCTGCTGCTGCTGGAAAATGGCGTTGTTGGCTCCTCATGATGCTCCTCGCTGATCGTGTTGCGACGTAGACTCTGCTTGGGCAGCTGCAATTTGGCCAGGGAGGTTTCGGCTGCTGTTAGCTTTTTGTTTGCCTTCCTTTGCTTCTTTTTGACCTTCTGCTCGTACAGCATTTTGGAGTGAGCTTTATCCAGGACCTTGAACAGTGCATCGCACTCCTTGAAGGACATGTTGGGCGTGGATCTGGAGGGCTTCTCATCTTTCTTCTCTTCAATTGCGGGCAGCACCCGCTTCAGCCGTTCACTGATTGTTTCCTGTGGCTCAGGACTCTCAGATTTGGGCAGTGGTATTGCCTTTGCCTCAGCCAACAGCTGTTCATTCACTTGTGGCATGACCAACTCCGCTTTAGACTTGGCAATTGGACAGGCTGATGAAGCTGGTGTGGTATTCAGTTCTGTTGCGTCGATCCTTAACTCTAATTTTGATGTGTTGTCTTCCACTGGTTTCTCTACCACACATTTCAAATCGACTGGAGACTTTAGCTCAATTTCTCTGAGCGTTTGCTTTGGGCTTTCCACTTTGAAGGCCAGCAGCTGTGCTGCAGAAGCGATAATGTGGGTATTATCAGTCGATTCCTCGAGGAGACTTGAGAGCGTCTCTGGAGAGAGCGGCGCTGGAGAATTCGCTGATGACAGCACTTCTATATTCTGTTCTTTCTCCGGTTTTCTTTCTTGCTTCAGCTTTTTGTCTTTCTCCAGCTTTTCTTCTCTTTCCAGCTTCTTTGCTTGCTCCATTTTCTTTTCTCTCCTCTGCTTTTCTTCCTGCTCCAGTTTCTTTTCTATCTCCAACCTTTTTTCTTTCTCCTTCTTTTCGCGCTTCAGCTTTGCTTCAATCTTCAGTTTCTCTGCCAGTTCCAGTTTCTTTTCTCTCTCAAGCTTCTTTTCTTGTTCCAGCTTGGCTTCTCTCTCCAGCTTCCTTTCCATTTCTTGCTTCGCTTCTGTCTGTTTTTGTTTCTCTAGCTCTGCTTCTCGCTCCAACTTCTCTTTTTGCTGCTGCTTCTCCTGCTCCATCATTTCTAGCTCCAGCTTCTCCTGCTCCATCATTTCTAGCTCCAGCTTCTTATCTTTCTCTAGTTGCTTTTCTTTCTCCATTTGCTTTTCCTTCTCTAGTTGCTTATCCCTCTCTAGTTTTGCTTCTTGCTCCAACTTCTCTTCTTGCTTCAGCTTCTCTCTCTCCATCTTTTCTTTCTCCAGCTGCTTTTCTCTCTCTAGCATTGCTTCTCGCTCCAATTTCTCCTTCTGTTTCAGCTTCTCTCTCTCTCGCTTTTCTCTCTCCAATTTCTTTTCTTGTTCCAGCTTTTCCTTTTCCAATTGCTTTTCCCTCTCTAGTTTAGCTTCTTGCTTTAACTTCTCTTCTTGCTGCAGCTTCTCTCGCTCCAGCTTTTCTTTTTCCAGCATCTTTTCCTGTTCCATTTCCCTTTCTTTCAACAGCAACGCTTCCCTCTCTAGCTTCGCTTCGCTCTCTAGCTTTGCTTCTCGCTGCAACTGCTCTTCTCGCTGCAGCTTCTGTATCTCCAACTGCTTCTTCTCTGCCATTCTCTTCTCTATTACCTGCTGCATTACTTCAATGAAGTTGCTTTTTGGCTTTTCGCCCTCAACTTCAATGTCAATTTGCTGTTTAGTTTTATTCTCCAGCTGCTGCTGTGCTTGCACCAGCTCCTCCTCCGGCTGGTGCTCCTCCTGCTGCTGCTCCTCAGGTTTGTGAATTTCTTCAAACCACAGCTCAGGCGGTTCGCTGAGTTCCTCAGTAATCAGTTGAGTCTCTAATTCTTCCTGCTGTGGTTCTTCTATTTCAATTGTATTTGTTTCCAAATGATTTTGCTGAGCATTAGGAAAGATTAGCTTAAATGTTTGATTTGGTTGGTCATTGATCTCCTCGTCTGCTTCGGCTGCTGCCTTTGCCGTTTCAATGTCCACGAAGATAATCTGTGAATTGGAGTCCTCATCGGATGTGAGAACAGTTATGACATCCTCATCATTTATTTCGATTGGTGTAATCAGTGTTTGTTCCGATGAGTTGGATGCATCATCAATCAAATTAAAACTTGTTGAGGTCTCATTGGAATCGTTGGATTCCAGTTGCAGATCAGCGCCAGCAGTCACGCTTGTGGATGGATCACTGGCCAAGATCAAGGCTGCCTTGCGTGGACGTCCACGTTTGCGTATGAGAGTCGTCTGCTGTTGCGATTTATCGCTGCTCACTTGGGCAACAATCAAACTCGGGGTCGGCTTCGGCTTGCTAAATGACTCAAGTATGGGCACAAGAGGCGCCGATGCAGCAGGCAACGTGCTGCGTGCCACCACTAAACGATTTATATCTGATGCTGCTGATCCAGCAATTGATGTTATTGGTGCATTGGAATCGATGCGTGCCTCAATTTGAATTTTATGCGTCTTCCGACTTTTATTCAGCACATCCAGCACATCAAATTTGGTGATTTTCTTACGCGTGCTGCGCCGCCGATTTGTGGGCGATGAGGAGCGTTCCTCTACGGGCTGCGGCGAGTCAACCTCTTCAATTACATCCGACTCCTGGTTTGCCGTGCTGGTTGCTTTAGGCGGGCGTCCTGGCCGTTTTCGGGGTGCAGCATTTGCATTTGCATCGGTCGTTAATTTCTCCATTTTCCAATCAAATGTCAAGTTTTAGCTCAGCCAACCAGAATAGGAATGCAAACTTATGATTTAATCAAAAGCAGCAACATCTGCCTATTCAAACAGAAATAAAGTTATATTATTTTTATTGCTTAGTTTATTAAACAACACTCACATTTTGGACGAAATGCAGATTTTTCAGCAATTGTTTATACTTTTCTGACGCACAGGTTACCAGTTGCGGTTAACAGCAAATGTACTTAAAAATACCAAAGTTTCAACTTTGGCTTTATAAATCGTCAGCTGTTTCACATGCACGATTGATGCACTTGTGTTTTTATATTGCACTTCGAATAAATGCGAAATGTTTACTTATTTAAGTGCTCTTCTTTAAATGCAGCATTTTCAGTTTTAGCTTATACTTTGATAGAGAATTATAGCTGCTAACTGCAACAAAACAGAAATAAGGAATACCGGCTGCTTTAATTGTACAGGTTAGCAACAACGAGCTAGAAAATGCCAAACTAACTGGCTTGCAAAGTAACAGCTGATCGGCATACACGCTTCTGCAAACAACTGGCCACACTGCTGATTAACACAATTTATTTGTTAGTCGAGAAAATATAATTCTAATTATATGTGCAAAAAATATGTTTGCCTAAATATTTATATATACTATTACCCTAATATTAACAATAACATGTGGAAAATAAATCTGCTACAGCTCAAAATCCTTGACATCTGCCGGATTGGAAAATGCTTTTTCGGTTTGCATTAGCAAACCAATTGCTCGAAAATTTTCATTTAACATTGCATATTCCTGGAGGGCTTTCAAGCATTGCATTGCATCGCTGTGATTATCAATGGCAATTGATTTTGTTGCAACGACCTGTTGCCCCACTGGATGATCTTCGACAACTGTTTGCTCGATCTCTACATCCATTATGGGATCATTTATAACTAAAGGTTCATCCTCGACACATTCGGAAAATGCTTTCCTTTGTTGCACGATCGTTTTCCGCTTATCCACGTGAGCTTTTAAACATTTCATCGCCTTGCCGTGATTGCTGATGGGATTTTCATTTAATTCGATATTCTTATCACCCGCCTGATTTTGATGGTTCTCTGTCTTCTGTTTTTTCGCAAAAGCCTGGAATGGGAAAATAGAGTGCGTTAGTTATTCCTTGCTGTATATTTAAGTATTCCATACATACCGAGGCTTCAATAGACTTAACTGACTTAATTTCAAGTTTTGTTTCCTGAGATGATACATGAATTCAGTTTATATTTGACTAAGAATGTTTTTATTACTTACTTTTGGCTCAAAGAGTTCAAAGAGTTTTGCATTTTTAGTGGGCTTCTGCGTTTCCCTTGTAATCACTTCCTATCGATTGCAAATGATTATAATCAGGTATTGATCTGTGATAAGTAAAAGTGTAATTTCTCACCCTTTTACCACGAAATCTGAGAGTTGCTAGTTTTGCCTTGAAATTCTCTAAAATGCTTTGTGTTTTATGCTGCTCTTTAACCAGGGTATGTATTGAACTTAGATAAATATTGCGTTTTTGGTTATTGCATTCTTTTCGAGTGATGTTCCGCAAATTGGCAAGCTTCTCATTTATTGTTTTCAAATTCCCCTGCAGATTGGCGATAACGTTTTCCAGTTCAAAACAATCCGTTTTTGGGACCGCCGTTCTAATTTCATACATTATACCAGACATTGATTAACTTTAGCAATTTTAACTGAGTGTGTGAAAATCTTTATTATCTGCGCTTGTTTTGGCCAAGAATGTTGATACTTTTTCGATAGTCAGCTTGCGTTGCCAACTTGGCAGAACGATTAATTCTGATAAATATCGATTGCGTATTTGTGGCGTTGCCGTATTGAATTGCTGTGAACAGTATCGAAATCTTTGATATTGGTGTTCTATACGAAGCCATCCTGACTATTGGGCTTATAATTGAGCTTATGTAGTACAGCTAATTGACTTAAAATGAGGGCATGCTACACTTATTAAGCTCTCTTTGGTTTATAGAGAGAACATGATTTGCTTATCGATTTTAATATATTTGCGATATTACCGATATTATCGATTTGTTATATCGATATAAGCAATGATGGTTCAGATTTTATGAAACAGATTTACACAAATAATTCTAAGCTATGATCTAAAATCATGCAGAAGGCTCGGCTCATTAAGAAGCAAAACTCCAAATTCCAAATAAAGTTTCCATTGCCAATCGAAATAACAAACGCCGCCTTAAAGTATGCAATCGAAAATGTTGTTTCGTTAAGTTATTATATTCGTTGAATATGTAATAAGTAAATAGAACGGAACGAATATTACATACCCTTGTAAACCGGAGTTAACCATCTGAAATTTCTATACATGTTACAGTTTGGCTTATTATTTATACAATTATTAAACTGTTCGCTTTGCCGACGAAGCGCATGTTGTAATATATTCGCTGCCTGTTCCAGTTCTCAAATTGCATCGTGCAATTTGCTGCATTTCTCTTACGCTCAGTTGCTGGAAACTCTTCGCACTCTTCTAACGCATTGGCTGCACGCTATCTTGCTCTTGTTTCGCTATCGTCCCTTTTAGCTGCACACGTTATTCTAGCATGCGACACTGCCTGTCGCTGCTCTGCTCTTACGTGCTTACGTGCTTTAGCGTAATTTGTGAATTACGTAGTCGAATGTGTTCGACATTATCTGTGTAATAAGCACGCACGACTGCTATTGATGGATTCCTGACGTTTTTGACTCAATGATGAATAATATTTAAAGTCCGGCTTTGAAATGAGATCAGATTTGTGCAGTTATTGTATAAGATAGAGTGACTTTTAAGCCCATTTCGATTCCACAAGCCTAAAATTATAATCTCTCAAATATTCTCTTTTTATTTCTATAGAGCAGTTAATGTAAAATAGAATCCCCCCTCGACCGATGAAGCGTGCAAAACATTAACATTTTCCATTTAATTTCCGCTGTGTGGAAAATAAAAATTAACATACAAATTTGTTTGAATTTAAATTGAGCACCTGCGCAAATAATGTGTGAAAATTGGTCAACGAAGAAGCGAACACTTTTGGCCAATCTTGCGCAGTTCCGGGATAGTTCTGGATATTCAGAGAAAAAAACAAGCGTGAAACATTTCTATGGAGTCGGCAGCCCTTCTGTGGCGTGGCAAGTGCAACAGAGCGAAGCGCAGAAGGTGTTGCAGGCAGGCAATGCGGGGGTTGCAACTGCGGATGTTGACAAGCCAAAAACCAAAAGAGTCAACACCGAGTAATTGTTGTGCAACAAGCGAGCGGGACAGAGACAGAGATAGCCTGATAAAGAAGCCACCTTCAGTTACGCCAGTGATTTTCCCAGAGCGTCAGCGGCCCATAAAATGTGGGAAAACGAATGCAGTTCGTTTATAAAAGCACAACAAACACACACACACACACACACATATACATGTATATATATAGCCAGAAATTATGATTGACTGCATAAACCTTTTGGGCCAAAAAATGACCAACGGCTTCATTACAAAAGCAGCTCCCACAATATCATTTTTTTTCTTTCTTTTGCTGCTTTGGTTGAAAATTGCATTTCGTGCAATCCACAGACAAGATCGACAGAGCGAAAGGGGCGTGGGGCATGGGAGGGTTCAATGCACACGGATCACGACTTGGCGGCATATCTGTTGGATAGTCGGGCCATAAATCGACAGGCCTGAACTTGACGTCTTTCGGCTGCCGATTGTGACTCTTGAACCACAGACACTCGACTCTCGACTCTCGATTCGACTTGCAACTCTCGACTCTGAACACCAGATTCGGGTCTGCTGCTCGAGTTGTCAATCAGTTTGGCAATGCCGGAAATATATTTTTGGGTAAATGATAGATGTTATTGCTGTGCTTAGAATCCAATTGCTTTGCCCATTTGCTATTTGTCAAATTTTCATTAGCTGGCCATAAATTGTTGCGCTGGCAAAACTCATAAATTTACCGTCGAACTGATTCTCACGAAATCGCTACTCTCCAAGTGTGTGTGTGTGTGTGTGTGTTTGTGTGTGTTTATGAAACTTTCTAGTTGTTCACACCAGCTGGTTGCAGTTGCATTCGGCAATTGGCAATCGCCACCTGCGCTACAAAATGTTGCAGACGCAGATGGAGAGAAGCCGCAGCCGCAGCCGCCGCCGCCGACGCCGCTGCCGCCGTGTTTGGTTCGACTAAAAGCGAATTCCAGTTGCAAACCCATTTTTGGCACGATCTCACAAAACACTGATCGAACAGGCCTGGCCAAGACAGACCAGACCCGTCCAGGCCAGGCCAGGCCAGGCCGGGCCAAGCCAACTCAGACCAGGCCAGGCCACGCCATTTAGGGAAGAAGCCACAGCCGGCACAGCTCCTTCAGCTTCAGCTTCAGCTTCAGCTTTTGTGTGCATTGATTTGAAATTGCCAATTGCATTCGCCAGGCAGCCGCACACGTGGAGTCCACTACACTCAGAAAAACAACTGAGATGATTTATAGAAAAACGTTTGTGTTTTTTGGAATCACTTTCCAAGTCGTTGTTAGGAAAGTTCTCATTTTTGGAAAAGCTTTTGTTTTTGAAATCTATAATATTAAATGTCCTACAATGCACATTTAGGTTTCGGAATTGAAATTATATATGTATCTATAATATTTGTGGATTCTTCAGAAATATCTTATTGAACATTTTACTTATTTTAGTTGTTAATTACTTTGATCAGTTTATTGTGGTTTTTGTCAAGTACTGAGAGTTGAATCGACTTCAATAGGGTACTCTATTTTAAATAATAAATTATATAAACTACTTTTTTCTCAGTGTAAGCATGCTGCTGTCACTGTGTGTGTGCATTGAGTGTGTGATCATGATTGTCAGATCGGCATCCAGCTGTGAGAACGCACCCACTTGGCTCACATGCCCCAACACATACATACACACACACACTCACACACACACTCAGTCACACACACACACAAAAGACACTCGTCAACACACCCACAACCAAAAAAAAACCGCAAGATCGCGAGACGAGGCCAGCGGCGTTGATCGTGCTTGGCTATCGATCGGATTGGAGCGGAGGTTTCTTTAATGCTCAACGGGCAGACTGGCAGACTGGCAAACTGGCAGCCCAGTGTTGATTGATTAATCATAGCTGGTAATTTGATTTTGTGCCTTTTTCGAGTTACCGTTACGCGCCACAAAACTCATGCCACATGTGCAGCAGCCGACAAGCCTTCTTTTCATTGGTTTGATTGATTGTTTCATTGCATTTGAGCTTTTTGGCATATATTCACCTTGTTGACTCTCCGGCGCACTCGCCCAGACAAGGCATATGTCGTGTAACCCGTATGTCATACCAATTATTATTTATTTTTTGTCCATTTTTTCTTTTTTCTCTTTTTTTTTTGCCATGTCAGCTTAGCTGTCAAAATCCTTGAGCCGCAACTTCAATTTGGCACACTTCTGATGCCGCTGATTCAAGTTGGCTCACAGCACGTTGACAGTTTTTCCAAATGGTTTGCATTGGATCAGCGATGAAAGCTTTTTGGCTAATCGGAAATATGCGTGGAAAAGTGATCGAGTGCATTTAAATTAGCAATTGAAAAGTTGCTAAGCTATAAGAAATTACTTTAAGCCTTAAGCCTTGGCTTTGAAATGACTTTAATCCCTAGTCAAAGCCTTGGATAAGTTGTGATTTTGATTCGAAATCTATAAAATGAACGGATATGCATCGATTTGGTTTATCGATTGATTTTCTGAGACTAACAATAAATCATTATGCAGTTTTTCAGCATTGAAGCTGGTTAATTATTTAATGCTAATATTGAAAGCGATTGATTATCGTGTTTGATTAATATCGCAGTGATAAACATTTACAGATTTTATACAAATAATTGAAGCATGAGATCAGCAAGTTAAGATCAATTTCAATTGAAGTACTTTTCTTAGTTTCCGCTCTTGATTTATACCATTTGTAAAAGTAGATCTCAGCATGTTCGAGTTTTCTTAGTAATGCTGCAATTTATCATGATAATCATAACACTTGCAGCACTATGCAGATTGCCCACGTGTTGTTACCACTTGTTGTGCGTTGTTAGCTGATTTTGGCATGCGGCTTAAAGTTCTGTAACTGTTCTTGTTGTTGTTGTTGTTGTTCTATTCTGGCCGGCAGCCCACTGTGTAGCCCGTAAATCATTTGCCAGCGTCAACAACTTGTCAACGGGCAAAAGCAAAAGCAAAAGCCATTGACTTCAAACACACACACACACACACACACATATATATATATATTGAGAGGTTTTGGAGAGGTTTTCGCTGTCGACTGTCGACTGTCGATTGTCGGTAGTCGGCAGTCGGTTAGTCGGCTTGTTGGCAGTTGGTAGTCGTCTGGTAGTTTTGGTCCAGTCATGGCTCATGTTGCATATAAATGGTGCTTAATGAGCTCGTGCCAAATAGAATTGTCAGGCGCCTATGTAACCCACTCGTATCCCCCCCTCCCCACTCCCTAACACTCTCTTATATAAAGTGGTAGTAATAGTTGTGGTAGATTGCATGTTCGTGTTGCGCTCAAATTGCTGTTAGAATTCCACACAATTTTTTATGGTTGCGCATTGATTTGATCACGATTTTGCAGAGTTCTGCTGCCACATATGTAAACCAAATATGGACAGCCTGCAGCTTGGGGCGCGGCAGGTGCACACTGCTCCCCCCCCCAAAATATGAGAGACTCAAAAGTATGCAGCACTTACACTTGGAGAAAGTCGCAAAAGCATTCCTT